TCAGGTTGGCTAAAAATTAAACAATCGTTGCTTTTTTTTTTTCCATGTGATTAAAATAAAATTAGCTTATTTAGTTAATTAAAACTATAACATGAGTTATTGAATTTTTAGATTTTTTAAAAAGATATATGCTTCCAACACTCAAATATTTTACCGGATAAATAAGCATAAACATGTCAGAAAGTGTTTGCAAAGACATCGAAGCACGATATCTCTTATTGAAAAATCATACTCATTCAAGCCATTGGTCTTCCTCACATAAAAATTCATGCTAAATAATCTTTCCCATTGCCACTCACTAGAAAAGATACCATCAATTCACCAACTCACTCTTCCTAACTCATTCTAATTCTTTCAGAAACAACAACAATGAACCCTCGGAACTTAAGAACTAAAAATTCAAGTACTACTTGTAAGCAAAGAGCTTGTTTCTCCATCCTTCGCATCAAAAATTAAACATAAGGAAAGTTTCAAAAAAAAGAAAAAAAATTAAAGTATTATTATTTAACCTTATCCAAAACGATATAAAATGTAATTGGGATTGTTTTTTAAAATATTTTTTAGATTGAAATGCATTAAAAATTATATTTTTTTTTATTTTTTAAAAAATACTTTTAAAATTAATGTATATCCAAAACATATAAAAAGTTTTAATTTTTAATAAAAAAATTAATTTTTAAAAAATACAAGTATAACTGCATTTTCAAATGCTTTCACGAGCCACAATCTCTCGTCTCTTGCATTGGCCTTGGTCAACGTGAATTGTACTTTTTAAGTAACATAATCTCTCCTCATGAAAAAAATATTCATATCAAAATAGAAACAGTACTCCTATTTCTGAAAAAAAAACATTTGATCACTGCAATCCAACATGAATCCGCGTCTCAAGTGTTTTTTTTTTTTTTTTTACCTCCTGGTGAGCCTCGGTTTGAAGAAAGAAACCAAAGAGCTAAACTCCATCCGATAAGGAGCTGTGCTGAAATTCAGTTGCACTTACTGGGCCTAAGAGGTTTGTTTTACCTAAACTAAGCCTATAATGATCATCTAACATTGGACCTAAAGAGAAAGCGAGGACCCATTCTCAATTTCAGTTGGGCCAAATTACTAGATTCTCTCTCTCTCTCGAGGTGGATCCCATCATAAATATTTACCAAAAGATTCCGCTTTTACATGTAAAAAAACAGAGATATAAATTTGAATATGAGAATAATTGATCTAAATTTGGTATGATGTGTCTTTTTTTCTTTCTCTTTTTCTTAACAATATTTTTCCTAATAAAAAAGAAATCTTTTTTTATAATTAAGGAACTAATTCAATAAAAAAAATAAAAGAAATTAAAAAATTACAATAGCCCTAGATTTATTAAGTTATGAATTGGAATAATATAATAATTGTTTTTCCCTTCTAAAAAAATTCAACTAACTTCTCTTATGGAATACATAGTCTTTTACACATCATTCATTTATTATTATCAGATTGATTTTGACAAATTTATCCTTATATTAGTGTTTTTTTTACATTGAAAAAAATTAAATTGGTATTTGACATAACATAAATAATTTATCTAGATTAACTATTTCCAGTAATGTCCTGACTTTTAAACTTCAAACTTCAAAAAAAAATATGTCACAAGGATAAATCTTTGCTCACAAAATTTAACCTTTATAAGACAGTTTAGTTCCATTATACTTAGTTTTTTCTCATTATTTCATTCGTGTTTATCTGCGATTATATGTATTTCATTAACTTAAAAAGACTCCCACACTTTCAATTGTATAAGTGGAATTAACACAAATAATGAAAGAAAAGTAAAATACACAACAAGATTTATAAGAATTCTTTCATACCCTCTTATTAACTCATTTAATAAAAGAATTACATAAATTTATATGTGTTGTGCGCAAAAACTTGTATCAAGCTTGTATTTTACATAACAAAACTTTCAAACCTATTTATAGATAATTTTGTGGAAGTTATAAAACAAATCTTAGATTTTCATAACATAGTAGGATAGTTTCTCCCTCATATTTATCATGAACTTTAGTGGTCTCATTCCAACAAGTATTAGGTAGTTTTCTCCATGTTTCTATGAACTTGGTGACTATAAAGTATTCATAGTCATATCCCTTGATTGACAACCCATTATTTATGATCTGGATAATCCTCTACTTAATTAGTAATGTCTAAACACCATTAAAACTTTTTATAATTTTACTGTCACTTTTTATCATAAACTCAATATCTAACTTTCATCCCTCAATTTTAATATGCCTTTACATGTCTTCAACTGTCCATCATCTAAGTCTCAACTTATTGTTAATCAATATTATTGATTTTATAAACACTACTATTTTGTTGACGTTGTTGATTATAACACTATTTCAAGAGCTATCACTACCCACTATGTTTTTCCAACAGTGTTTTCGTTAGCATTTCTTTGAAGAATTTAACCTTGTAACAACATGACTCTTAAAATTGTATATTTGAAATGACACATCTCAATTTTTTTAGAGGCAATAAAAGAGTATTGGAAAGTGTTTATTTCAATATCAAAAGTAAATCACCTGATATGGTTTGAGATGTTTTTTGGTCTTACATTCATCAAAGTGTATCCCTTCATAATCTGATCACCCTTTTGGGACATAATTTTGATGGATCAGAGCTAAAAAATTTCAAAATTCCTTTTAACTTTCCGAATCCCTTCTCATTCTTAAATTAAATGAAAAGATGAGAAATTATCCTTTATGCTAAACAAACATAACGAAAATAGAAGGAAAAGGGGAACCTTCTGTAGTCTCTCCCTTCTTTGGAGATCATAATATGTTTGGTCAGAATAAACAAAGAAGATTTCTCACGTTTCTGTGTCGTATTAACATCCGTAGAAGTTTCTACTTAGTAAAATGCAGTAAGACTTAGTCGGCTTAAGGAGCCCCCACCTATAAATCTCATTCCATTGATGGCTTAGAATTTCTAGGTGATCAGCTAGTCACCATATTCTCATCAACAGACATTCAATTCCCCACATTCATAGGTAGGGCAATTCCTGCATATATATAACACAATTCAAGAATTTAGTTGAACCACCATATCCTTGAAAGCACGGGCGTTACGCCTTATTTTGGTTCGAATCATAAAAGGCTAGAAAAGCTAAAAAGCAAAAATGAAATTTTTTGTTGAAAAAGGTTTCCCTAGCCTGCACGTACGACATCCTATATATATATATATATATATATATATATATATATATATATATATATGATGAGATATTTGTATATGGTATGGTTACAACTTACAGCAACCAACTAGAGATGGCGTCTTATTTATTTATTCATTTATGAATGAGGATATCGTCTTATACTAGATAATGATCACATATATGCAGAATTACCAAACATTAATTTTCAAAACCCAACATTTCGATAAGAGGAAAAAACATTGATAAGTAAGCAGTTTAATTTTTCTTGTTCGAGGTGTTCAGAAGTTTTCTCAAGTAATATTCCCTCCATATATATATTCCATCGATGGATAGTTGACCTATAAGCTTAATATTAACCTAGCAGCTTGAAACCCTTGTCTTCTAGGAAGCCATTTTTTGGACAGAAGCATGAAGCAAAGCAGCGGAAGGGTGGATGTGAAAGGCAGCGCAATCAAATTTATGTTCCGTGAAGGCATGAAAGAGATGAAGAGAAATCAATTTGGCTTACATGTAGCTCATATATAGGCCAATAAGCACCGCAGAGAATAAGATATAGTACACGTGCATTTGACAAAGACATTTGCCTCAAATAATTGTATTTCTGATATTTAATAATCGTTTTCCCTTGTATTAAGCACAGTTTTACACATAAATTAAAGTGCATTATGTAGGCATTTGTTTTACGTATATAGTAGTATAAAAGGAAGTGGAAATTGATCACTTTTTAATTAGCTCTGATGGTTGCAGCGACCCTGGATGTGGGTGAACCGACGTATCCAAGCTAAATCATATACTCTCTAAAAGTTTCTTCTTTCTTTTTATTATTCTAAGTCTCGAAAGAATAAAACTAAGCATCGACCCTCGAAAAAAAATAGTGTGCAAGGGTATCAAATATTAAGTGAAGATTGCAACTAGACTTGTATTTATCAGCAATCATTCATAATTCCACAACTAAAGAAAGGGAAAGAATATTACATGAAACAAAGTTTTTATTTTTAAAAGTTTTAAATTAATTGTAAAATAGAATTGAAAGTTAAAAGGTGAAGGAAAATATTATCCTTTGAATACTAATTTCAGATGACGAAGATGGCAAAAGATTCTCTGATCTTGCTCAATTATAACTTGGATTTTGTTCCTGAGCTCTGACTTGGTCAAAGGCTGACCTAGATTTGGTTTTAAGTCCTTGGTGTATCATCATCAAGCCATGCTTGCGAATTAATTTCACAAATTATAGAGGTTGAAATTGAATGTTATTTCCCAAGCTTAAGTTTTCTCTTCTGACCAAAGATGTTAGCTAGTGATAGGTCGAGTAACAATGAGGGGGGAATCTCTTCCCTGAAAGAAACATATTAAAACCCTTTATATATATATATATATATATCCTTTTTTTTCTTATAATAAAAGTTAATTCGTAATATTGGACAGGAAAGAACAAATTCATATCACAAGTATATGCTAATGTAGAGTGTGAGCATAAAAATAATTAGTAATCGGGGCGGTGGAATGAATTTTTGCCCACTTTAATTATTCATGTATTTTAGCTAGGCAAAGAACCGAGTATTTGTTCCCTTTTCATACTCTTACTTTTCTTCTTTTTATCTTCTACTGTATTTCCAGACTTTTATTAATTCAGTGTTCACATCACTTTCTTGCTTTCACATTCATTGTCTCTTAACCCACCCTCCCTAGTCCCTCCCTCTTTCTTTATCATTCACTTTGATTTTGACCCGTCGCCAGCCACCGGCAACTCTTTCTCGACTCCAATGGAGACCCCACCCTGCACTCTCTAAAGGATCTTCTTAGTGGAAACATTAATGTATTGCAAGTCTTTTTTTTTTTTTTTGAGTAAAAAAGTTTAAATAGCCTTCTTCTTTCTTTCGTTTCTCTTTTCCTTCTCCAAAAACCCTAATCCCAACACATACCCTGAAGTAGAAGAAGCAATTATGTGTCCCACCTTTTAGCCTTTACTCTCCACCCTTTCGTTCCTGTTTCTTTTTCTGTTCCTTTCCTCTCTAGCCATCACGTTTAAGAAGATCTGTGTGCATTTTTCTCTTCTTTTCACGGAAACTTTCGCTGTTAGCTCAAGACAAGGAAGAGATTGCCTCCATTTCAGATCAGGCTTTAAAAGATACGGAAACTTTCTCAAAGGCTGATTTTCTATATATATTCATTTACCTGATGGGTTCTTTTGCAGAATCCTCATAACTTCTTTTTTAGATTACCTTTTCTCCTCTGCTACCTTGCAACTATCGCTATCTTCTTTCCTTTCTGCTGTTTCAACTTTTGTATGTTATGGATTCTGGTAATAGCGGTAGTATGCAATCGTCTAGTGGTGGTGATGAAGAGTATGACTCAAGGCCAGAGTCACTCCCAGCTTTCTTGAATCCTTCTACCCACAACTTTGGTCCTTCTCTGCTTTCTCACCAACAACCGGTCACTTTGTTTGATCCTACACCGAGTCTTTTCCACGCTTTCTCTCAATCTCAACCAAACCCAATTGTGGTTCAGTCACGAGGCCTGAGATCTGACCCGAATTGCACTGATCTTGGTATCAACTTACCAGACTCATTATCATCAAGTCAATCAGCGGTTTTGGGTGTTCAAGGATCAAGTCAAGCTCTACCTTCCTCTAAGCAATTGCGATCGGTTCATGACGATGGAGGACGCTCTTCTTCACCGTCTCATGACCAGACACATGGGATAGCAAGAAACCCCAAGAAGAGAACAAGGGCATCAAGAAGGGCACCCTCTACAGTTCTCACGACAGACACGTCCAATTTCAGACAAATGGTGCAAGAGTTCACAGGGATCCCAGCACCACCATTTTCAGGCTCAGCGTTTACTCGAAGGCTCGATCTTTTTGGCCCTGGCTCGGGTTTGAGGTCTGGTCATCTGGAACCACTCTACCCTCTACGTCCCACAGCTCAAAAGGTTCATCATCAGCAAACCCCATTTTTATCTTCTTCTTTTCCTTCACTTCTTAACAATAATATCGTTCATACCACTAATATTGCTAGTACTAGTACTGCCGCTAACAATAACAATACTATTTCCACAGCCGCAACTAGTACTTTCAATCCCAGTTCAGTAAACTACCAACTGCCTGATGATATAGGCCTACACAAACAAACTCGAAATCTGCTAAACATGCAAAATCAAATGCTTTCAATTCACCCCCTTCTACACCTCCCTCCTCCTCCTCCTCAACAATTACCTAATGTGCCTGGTTTGGGTGCAAATTCTAGACCAAGTTTGCCTCTACCTTCCCTTGAGGAATTGGGTATGGGACATGGATATGTTAATGCAAACCTTAGTGTGCTAACAAGTCATGTAACAACAGAAGAGATGAGATTATCGAATGATGGGAGTCACCATAACTTGAGGTCATTGAATGGGAATTATGGTAATAGCTGTAAGTTGAATTACTCGTCAGCTTCATCAGATTTTCACCATGAAAAGGGTTTAGAGAATGTTCCTTCAAGAGGTACAGAGGGTACAGTTGATTCATGGATCTGTCCTTCAGAGTTCAGAGTGGGAGATCATTAATCAAGATTCGCTCCATAACTAAGGGAGTACAAAGTAGGTTATGAAGAAGGTTTGCTGCAGGCAGCTGATTGTCATGTGTAGATGGTGGTGGTACTGTTGACTGTGATTTTGGTAGTGACGATATAATTCTGTTATTGACCTCGGTTCCTGACACTTTGGCTAGATTGCAGCATCATATCTTTTTTTTTCTCTCCTTTTTCAAGAAATAATTTATAATTTAGGAGTATCAAATTACGAGATATTACGCTTTGAATTATGTGTAGATATGTTCATATGTTCCTTCTTTATATTTGTCATTATATATATTACTATGCATGATTCGGTTTTCCAACTGTTATTTTTCTTCTTCGAACTAGCTAGTTCGAAGTAATCCAGTTCTAGTTGATTGCTTTACACTTTCAATCTTCATCTAGTACTTTACGGCATACCATCATGTAGTCCCATAACACAGTACACAAAATTGTCTTCCTCGTGCATTATCCACCGGAAGAAAATAAATATGTCGGTGGTGCCGCGTTAATGAAGAAGATCTTGTCTGCTGAGAAAGATTTGTTGCTATTGAGTTGTCCAATTCTTTTCTTTCTTGAATACTAGTTAGCATACATCCTGCGATGTCCCCGTACCATTGAGGTGCAGGACAAAGCAACAATTTTTATTATGGGATGCGAACAAGCCTATCATTTTTTACTTGTTATCTTCTTCATCAACTCCATTTTTGTACACGCAGTGCCCTTGTTAACTGTCATTGTGTTTGTATGATTTTCCAATTTAATATTGTGATATGATCTCTTACATGGTTCATCGTATAATTCATGGTATATATGTACGTCTCTTCTAGGACAATAGTTCATTTTACTCTCGGATATGGTACTATAGGGGATAAAATAATACAACATAGAGTGATTGGTGGCAAAGATTAGGGGAATCCTTACCTGCCGCAATCATAAACTAGAAGTTAAAAAATCCATCCCCATTACATCCTTATCCATGATATTATGATTCTTAAGTTCTAATTCATTTATTTTCTTAAAAAAAAAAGATATTCTTAAAAAAAAAAAAGAAGTTCTAATTCATTTGTGCTTATTAATAGATATAGATGCCCATTAAGAAACCAAGAGATCGAACTAGTTTACCTAGCTTCAATGGATTCGAAGACGTGTTAAAAGTCAAGTTTTTTTTTTTTTTTTTTGAATTTTAAAATCTGGGAACAACCTGCTTCCAACATGCGCACAGAAGGCTTTTCTTGCTCGCCCTGCTTGAGACCATCTCATTATCAGTCTGATTTAAACAACCCTCTTCCTTGTTCTTTCTTTTTCTATGAGGGCGTAGCCAAAAAAACCCTGCGAATTCATAAAAGCATTGAGCATGAGCATTTGTAAGCTGTAGCTGCCATAAGTTTTGAGACGATATAGGAAATGCAGACAGCACCCACATTATATGGCGTGGTCATTATTAAAATATGGTGGGCTCGTGATTCATACATCCCATATTGATTTTTGAAATTAAAAAAAAAAAAAACAATAAGAATATGAATTGCCATGCGGGGGCGTGGAGGATTAGATGACGCTCCAGTATAAATCTCATATAACTCTACATCTACGACTTTTATGCGGCCACTGGTTCTACTTATTCAAGCAGTTTGTGGTATAGTTGATGACAGTCTGTGGTAATTAAATAGATGCAGTTTGTGGTATAATCGATGACTTAATAATAAGATGAGGTCCCTGCCATTAAAGTCAATGATAATTCCAGTCCTTGCTTTTGTTGATTGGTTGTCCTCGATTTCCTTCTCTTTTTTCTTGGGTACATCTCCTGGATTTTCTTGAGTTGTAGGTTTCATGGAAGAGACCATGGGGGGTTTATAGCTGAAATAATAAATGTATGATTATACAATTAATTATATGGGCACAAACAGAAGCGGGAGAAGAGAGAGATCTTGGTGAAACAAAGAAGGAACAGAAAATCTATAGTGAATCATTTTGATAGCCATACGAGATGATTAACCGTAAGAATTAGGGAAAGTAATAGCAAAAGGCTAGGAAAATTATCAAACCAGTGCAGAAACATAATTATGATAGAATTTTTGGGAAACAAATTGGCAGAGAGCTGTTACTTGATTAGCTATGATATAAACAAGCAATTTGCAGGATGAGGACATGTTTTGGAGAGGAGTGGTGACATGTGACATTTTCTCTTTTGGAATCATGGTGGCCCAGGCCAGAGAATAATATGGTTTTTAGCAATGATGATTGTTTCTCTCTAATCCGTCTTCCTCTCTCACTCCTCCCTCAGCTCCCAGTCTCCCTCAGGGTCATGTGAAAGAGACTGATCTCTACGTTTTGAACTGAAAAGGTTAGTGCAAGTGCAGACTCTCTCACTCTCTCGATTTCGGGCCACCCCCAGAAATTTGAAACCTTTCTTTCTAATCTCTATCATCCCCGCGAGAGAGCATGCATCCATGGAGCATCAGCGATCGATCATGAATGTTATGTGTGCATGTATTAATTGGTGGTGTATTAAATCTCACCTCGTGCCAAGCCTTGATATTAAAACGTACAAATTAGGAACTTGTGTCCAATATGATAATCCAAGTTAATGTTAAAAGCAAGCATAGTGGGAAAGAGAGATTTGTCACTCTCTGTGACGCTGGTTTCTCTGCCTTAACTTCTCAGAGAAAATGTCCGTTTTGTAAACTTCTCAATGATATGAAACATGTTTTGAAATAAGTCAAGTGGAGCATAGCTATTAGTTTGGTAGTTTTTTTCAAAAAAATATTTTTTATTTAAAAATATTTTTATAAAAGGAGTTTTTAAAATATAAAAATAATCTGGCTTAAAAAGTTGTCTGAATAGAAGTTAAACCCATACAGGTTGAAAGGAAAAAAAAACTTAAATAACTAGAAAAATAATTATGAAAAAAAAGGAAGCATATTCTAGGTAGAATGAATATATTCCTCAACTCAGCTAATTAAAATAAACTGACTTGTTATAAAATAAGATATATTAAACTGTATTAAAATCAATAATTGAATAAAAAAATATGCTCGTTTTTATTAGAAGAGTTTATTTGATATATATATATATATAAAGTTTATTTTTAGACTTTCATCTTATTTATCTATCACATAAATATATTCATTATACATTTAATATCACTATGATACTACCTAGTTAATTACCCTCGCGAATCAAGACAACACGATCAAGTTTAAGCAGTTTCTTAATTAATTATCCTTATATAAGTCGTGGTATTATTGGCATCTTCATCACTTGATTCTTTTAGTTGTTTCACCAGCCTCAGGTGTGGGCGCTGCTTAGCGAGGCAAGGCTATTTTTTAAATGTAAAAAATTATATTCAGATTTTAAAATGAGGTAAAAAAATAATATAAAAAACTGATTATAATAAATTTATGATCACTTTAATTAGGACCGGTTAAACTTGAAATATCTTGTAAAACATGTTATTTAGGTTATATGAATAAAATAATTTGAAGAAAAGAATAAAAATAATTATATAAAAAATATTTAAAAAAACTCATGTTAACTTTTCAAATTCATAACCTGAATTATTAGACTCGAAATATTTAATTTAAAAAAATTATAAAATTTAATTTTTAATCAATTATATATTGAATGATATAATTAAAAAAATTTAATTATTTAAAAGAATTTTTGAAAGTAGCAATTAAAAGAATTATAATTAAAATAAAAAATAAATTTTATATTTGATTCAAGGGTAAAATTAAAAAAATAGTAAAATGAAAAAAAATTTAAAATTAATAAGGTTTAAAATTGAAATAAAAATTAAAATAATACTATAATTAAATGTTGAAATTAAAACGAACAATAATTTTTACAAAATAGTCAATATAAAAATTAAAAATTAAAATAATAATGATCAAATTAAAAAACACAATATTATCAATCTAAATTAAAGAATGAAATAAAAAAACCTAATAAAAATTTTACAAAGTAACCAAGAAAATAAATAGAAATTCAAATAATAAAAATTAAATTAAAAAATATAATATTTGATAAATTAATATTCAAGTATGAAATTAAAAATAAATAAAAATTATAAAAAAAATAAAGATAAAAAGTTAAAAATTAAAATAAATAAAATTAAAATCTCAACAACAAATATTTCTTGTAACATTGAAGAACAGCTGGTTCGAACCAGATGAACTCGTGCCTCGGACTGCGCCTGCTACGGTATTAGACCTTTGGCCTTGGCCTCAGAATTAATGATAAATGCTGCTGACTCCTTTGACAATTGTTCTGTTTGGAGACTGGACTCGGTTAACCACATGGGAACCAGAACGCGAGCAGACCGTTGCCCCATTAATTCAGAGTTAGGAAACAAAAATTATGAGTGTACTCAACAAAATATTTTTTAGCAAATTTAAGATTCTTCATAAGATTTATTTTTTATTTTGTATTTTTTTCATTTGTTGTTGATTTTTCTTTTTCCTTACAAATTTTAATAAATTAGTTATTAATTTAGGTATAAAAAGTTCCAATAGCAACAACAACAAAATTGTTTGAAGATGAAAATAAAAATAAAAAATTGACTATTATAGATTACTCCAATGTATTTATCTAAACATGTAGTCTACGATATAAATTCT